TGGCACCCCTTAAGACCAAAATAAAGCCTATTGTATTTTTGAAAACCTTTATGGTTGCTCATACGACATTCTGGTTGACCTGGTTATTGTTAAGCAGGGGTCATTTCGTAGAAAAAGAGGTGCAGGAGCTCATTAGCATAGCTCATTAGCATAACTTATTTGCATATGCCACACCCCCTGACACCACCGGAAGTGTGCCAGAAGGCAACACCCACCATTTAGGCTCCATTGGACTGTTTTGGATTGCTAGCTGTTGGGGGGGGGGGGTGTGCGTTGCTTCTTGCTCTGACTGAGGGCTGCTGGGAGCAGGGGGTGGGGCTTGTTGCATGTGCCCACCCCCTGGGCTCTTCACTGCCGGAGCTCTGCTCCTGTGCGCTCCAGCAGGAAATGACCCCTGTTGTTAAGCTTAATACTGTTTCTGAATTCTATTACCGCTACAAACAGCTGTTATTAATGTTCTGTATAAAAGTTATAAATAAAGTGGGTTTTTTTTAAAAAAAGGCCAACCAAGTTTTATTCTGGGCATAAGCTTTTGTGTGCATGCACACTTTGTGCCACTGGACTCAGAGACTCCCTTCACGCGACACCAGAGCGGTCCAGGGCGAGAGGCTGTTCGGCGACTTCTCTCCCGGGGCGGGCTGACGAGACTTCGCCTCCGGCTGCAAAAGGTCTCGGTCCTGTTGAGATAACTCCAAGGCATCATGGTCCTGAGGCCTTCTTGCCCCCTCCTCCTCTGCTTCGGACGGCCTGGAGCAGGAGAAGTAGTTTGGGAGTGTGGCCAGGATGAAGCTACTCGCCAAGAGGAAGGCCCCAGCCGTGATGAACGAGACGGCGTAGTTCCCTGTGAGGTCCCTCAGCCACCCTAGAACATAAAAAGAGCAGGTGAGCTTCAAGCATATTGAAGGCACCACCTGCATTCACTACCAGGTGACTCTTCAGTCAAGAGCAGGGGAATGCAAAACTTTGTTTATACTATTGAGATTGATGCGTGGGCTCAGATATGGAAAAATAATATAAAAATTACTAAGGCCCTGTTCACACGCTGAATTTGCCGTGGAAGAGCCACGAATGTTGGGTGGATTTTCAGGGCGCGATCACACAGCAACATCTGGCAAGCGTAGCGCACCCGTGGCCAACCCGTGGTGTGCCACCGAAGCTGCGCAGTTAAAAAGTATCTCAACAAATGTACTAGCAAATGGTTTGCCATAGGCTGCCGATGGAATCATTCCGTGTGATCGCGCCGGTGTGCGGCTTCCCCCCCCAGCTGTCCTCCTCGACGTGCACGCGCTGATGGATGAAACCGCAGTGTGCCACCATTGCGTCTGATCACTTTTTGGCAGGTCTAACTGTGCCAGCGCAAAGAGCCATGCCTCCCCCCCACGTTATCTGGCCCATCTGACCGGAGCCTTAATCGGTTAATTTTAAAGAGAATATTTATAAAATGTTTTTATAGATGGTATATAACTCCAGAAAAAAATATCAGATGATTAAAGGGATGCCTATTAAATGTTGGAAATGTCAAGATAAAGAGGGTAGTTTTTATCACATGTGGTGGACTTGTGTATCAGCAAAAGATTACTGGAAAAAGATTCATGAGTGGTTGCAGACAATGTTGAAATTGAATGTGCCATATAAACCTGAACTGTTTTTGTTAAATGTATTACCCGATTGTTTAGATAAGAAACAAAAACACAATTGTACATGTGGTGTGACAGAAGCAAGAATTTTGCATGTGAAATACTGGAAAGCGAACCAGGAGCCAACAACTGATGAACTGATTGAAAAGATTTTAAAAGTTGCTGAAATTGACATTTTATCGGAAAGGTTAAAAGACCCTGACGACCAAGAGCTGGAAGTGATATGGAAACCATTTTATATATGGACCCAAACAACAAACTAGAGAGACAGAGTCTGAACGTATAAATTATAATGATTATTAAAAAAATATGTGTTAAACAAATGAAAGATGCATGTTTGTTTTGTAGAACTTGATTTAAGTGGCTTAAATTGTTAGATGATTCTCTGTGCTCTACTGCTTCCCGGATGTCATAACCCATACTGTGTCCCATCCCTACCTTACCCTTTCTTATGGAAATTTAATAAAAAATTTAAATCCAAAGAGCAGGGGGAGTCCCCAACAACAGGGCACCCATGGGCTCTATAGCAGACTCCAAGACCTCTCCTGGCATCTGCCAATGTGTTTAGAAAGTGGGCAGGATGGGATGAGGCTGTTGCCCTTCTGGGCGTCAGATTTGTTGTGCAGATTTTTAAAGAAAACATTCCTTTGGAAGCAGCTTCCACCACAGCAGGAGGATATTCCCTGTGTGTGACTGAAGGTCAGGAGGACAATATCTTAAAACAATGCGTTCGTTCTAAACGTCATTCTGTTAAACGGAGCGTCTGCCTGAAATGTTGACGAGTGAAGCTGAAGAGTTGAGCGTGACCTCACTCCCCTGACCTGACATTTTGTGGCCGGCGCTGGTGGCAGCCATTTTGCGGTTGCGCCCACTGCTCTGTGTCAGAACTCCAAAGGCACCTGCAGGCTCAAAAAGGGTGGGGACTTCTAACCGAAAGAGCTGGTGTTACTCAACAAAGGGAAGATTTCCGTGCTTGTAGGGTCAAACATCCTTCCCTCACAAAGGCTGCAGTGCTTTGTTAGATTTGAGTCCAGCAGTGCCTTAGAGACTGGCAAAAGCTCATACCCCCCAAAATCTTGCCAGTCTCTAAGGCACTGCTGGACTCAAATCTAGCTATCCTACTGAAGACCAACATGGCTAAGCCCTCTGAAACTATCTGCCAGACTTTGAGGCTTTCATTTCTTCCTCTGATCACGCCCACATTGGTCCAAACCAGACTCCCACTCATAGCCATTGAACACCATAGAACATTCTAGAGAAGAAGAAGATGAGAGATTGGGTTTATACCCCGCCCTTCACTCGGAGTCCCAGAGCCGCTTACAAACTCCTTTCCCTTCCCCTCCCCACAACAGACACCCTGTGAGGGAGGTGGGGCTGAGAGAGCTCTTTCCAGAACTGCCCTTGAGAGAACAGCTCTGACAGAACTATGACATGCCCAAGGTCATCCAGCAGCTGCGAGTGGACGAGTGGGGAATCAAACCTGGTTCTCCCAGATTAGAGTCTGCGCACTTCACCACGACACCCAACTGGCTCTCGGTCTCTCTAGTGACAGAAGTAAGCTGAAGCTTTTACCTGAAAGCGGGGTCCCCAGCAAAGCCCCCCCGCTCTCCAACATGTGCATGAGCCCGATAGCCCCCAGCGTGCGTCCGGAGCCCACGATTTCCACCAGGCTGGTGAACTGGAGAGGAACAAGGGCCCCGGCAAAGAACCCGTAGCAGAGGCCCAGAGCTGCGAGCGAGGTGTAACTGTGCCCCAGGGGCAACAGAGCAATCGATGCCCCGGTTAAGACAGTCCAGAGAGTCAGGTGGTGGAGCAGGCGGCCACAGAGCCTGGAATCCGCAAGCCAACCGGCAAAGATTCGGCCGCACATGTCCGCGACGGCAGCCACGGACATAAGGAAGGCAGCTCGGTACTCATCACATCCCACCTCTCTTGCGTGGGCCACCAGGTGGGCGTAAGGGACGAAGTAGCCTGCGTCTACCAGGACGAAAGCCAAGACGTAGCGCATGAAAGGTCCGTGGGACAAGAGCTTCAGGCTGAAGAGCGTGGCGAGAGTCGCCGGCCATTTTGCGGCCTGGCCTTTGGGCGCTGGGTCTCCCTCCAAGGCCAAGGGCTTCAGTAGAGCTCCAGACGCCACCAGGTTCAGCGACATGGCCGCCACCAACATGAGCGCGCCCCGCCAGCCGTACGAGTCCACCAGGTACTGGAAGAGTGGGGAAAAGGCCAGGGAAGAGACGCCGGCGCCTGAAACCGCCAAGCCCATGGCCAGCGTCCGCCGCTTCTCAAAATAATGAGACACGGTGGCCATGGAAGGCGTGAAGACGAGGGCCCAGCCGAACCCTGACGGGAGAAAAGCAGGTGGTGAGATTTGGAAAGGGCAGCAGTTTTGCTAAAGACTCATCATGAACACATAAAGCTGCTGAATCGGACCCTTGGTCCATCCATGGGTCAGTCTTGCCTACTCAAACTGACAGCCGCTCTCCAGGGTCTCAGGCGAAGGTCTTCCACATCCCCTACTGCCTGATCCTTTTAACTGGGGATGCCGGGGATCAAACTTAGGACCTTCTGCATCCCAAGCAGGTGCTTTACCCCTCAGCCGCATCCCCTCTCCCTTGCTTGGCAGTTCAAAATGAGTGTGTGTGGGGGGGTAAGAACATAAGAGCATAAGAGAAGCC